TGCCACGAGCTACTAGTAGCTTCTTGCTCCTAGTAGCGATGCCCTTGTTACTTGTAGCTTCTAGCTACTAGTAGTAATGCCAGGAGCTATTAGTAGCTTCTTGTTTCTAGCAGCGATGCACTTGTTACTAGTAGCTTCTAGCTACTTGTAGTATTGCCATGGGCTACTAGTAGCTTCATGCTCCTAGTAGCGATGCCCTTGTTACGATGCCAGGAGCTACTAGTAGCTGCTTGCTCCCTGTAGCCATGCCCGTGCTTCTAGTAGCTTCTAGTCTAGCTACTAGTAGTATTGCCAGGAGCTACTGTAGCTTCTTGCTCCTAGTAGCGATTTCCTTGCTTCTAGCTACTAGTAGTTATGCCAAAGATTAGTAGCTTCTCGCTCCCAGTAGCAGCTTCTAGCTACTAGTAGTAGTGCCAGGAGCTACTGGTAGCTTCTTGCTCCTAGTAGCGGTGCCCTTGTTACTAGTAGCTTCTAGCTACTTGTATTAATGCCAGGAGCTACTAGTAGCTTCTTGCTCCTAGTGGCGATGCCCTTTGTTACTAGTAGCTTCTAGCTACTAGTAGTGATGCCACGAGCTACTAGTAGCTTCTTGCTCCTAGTAGCGATGCCCTTGCGACTTGTAGCTTCTAGCTACTAGTAGTAATGCCAGGAGCTATTAGTAGCTTCTTGCTCCTTGTTACTTGTAGCTTCTAGCTACTAGTAGTAATGCCGGGAGCTAGTAGTAGCTTCTTCCTCCTAGTAGCGATGCCCTTGTTACGATGCCAGGAGCTAGTAGCTGCTTGCTCCTAGTAGTGATGCCCTTGTTACTAGTAGCTTCTAGCTACTAGTAGTAATGCCAGGAGCTACTAGCAGCTCCTTGCTCCTAGTAGCGATGCCCTGGTTCCTAGTAGCGATGCCAGGAGCTACTAGTAGCATCCTTGCTCCTTTCTTGTCCTTTAAAGTGACCATACAGTGTTACAGCAACACGGAACATTGGCCAAGCCGCTTGGTGGATCGCTGCACTTGGCCATTCATCGCCCGGTAAACCCTTGTCGGGAGCCACATCTGGCAGCTCAATCAGGGTCGCCTTCCCCAGCCCTTGGCCCAGAAAAGCATCCCGAGCGCCGCAGTTTTTGGCCAAGCTTGAGCTCAGGAATGTGAAGCAATCATGTCAGCACAGCTTGAGCGTTTTGGAGAGGTGAGTCGTCCCTAAACAGCATCCACAAGGGCCAGCCCAGCAGGTCCTGCTTGATGTTTTGTTCGAGCTGCTTGATCTGATCTTTCAGTTGTTGCACCTCAGAGCGGAACCATTCTTCCGTCTTCCCAAGGGATCCATTCTTCCATCTCTCTTCCAAAAGGAGCGGTCGAACAACTGGTCCATTTGCGAAAAACGGCGGGGCCCTCCGTCACCCTTCGACCCCTGCTGTTCGTCCGGAGAAACCGACATGCCCTCGTAGGGCAGAAACGCCGGAGGGCAGCGTTTGCGAAACGCCCACAGCGCCACCCAAAGAACATGCGTTGATGCACCAAACTTCCCACCAAAAAGTTCCCAACTTAGTGTATGGCATCGATATGTATCGATACTTAGGCCGTCCGTGCCAACCAAACCTAGCCACCAACTCCTGGAATTCATCAACAGTGAACAATTGGACGTGCTGCCCGATGCTTTGTTAGCCCTTCGTTCCAGGTATTGCTGACCCTCTCTCCCCCTCTCTCTGGGCATAGCTCCCCGCCGTTTGTTTACTTGATAAAGGTCGCCGTTCCACCCATCCCGCTTCTTGGCATGTTGCTTTTCGATCACGGAGATCATGGGGAGAGGTTGTCTGCCCACACATGTGGTTTCACACACCAATCAAAATATCGGAATCGACCTAGCAGGTTCGAACATGATTTGATCTTTTTGAGTCCAATCCAGGTAAGTGGCATTGTTGGTGTCAAACATTTCTCTATCAACTTCACGTTCTCCATTCACAACAACCTCGCTTCTCTTCGCCTGGCTTGAAAACACCCCACCCCCACCAATCGCCCCATCAAGAGGATTAAAAAAACCACCGCCCACCCACCGCAGCTTTGTGAGGGACTTTCTGCCCCATATCCATCTTCATCGCTTCAAAGTTGTGCCGCATCTCGTCCAGCTCTTGTTCGGTCCCCTGGCGGTCCGGCGGCGTAAACTGGCCCGCGCCGGCGCGTCGGGTGACCGGCAGAACGAGGCGGAAGGCGGGTTTCCGAAAAGAAATTGAGGTTGGAGCAGTGTGGTGAAGAGACATATATAAATTATATCGTATAGCAGGTTAACCTCTGTCTACTATTCCACCCCATAAAGGGTAGGGGTCCTGGCAGACTCATGTAGACCAAGGTGGGCTCCAAAATGGTGTAAGGTCGATCGGCTGGAAGCCGGGAATTTGGGGTCGTTCTTCATCCGTCAACTCCCAACTGACCCCATCTGTCGCTTCAGACTAGACACTCCAAAACATCCTCTCTCTCTCTCTCTCTCGGCAGGACTGACAGTCGAGTCGAGCTCCGCCACCTGAGAGCTCTGGATGAGGAACAAATTCAACTCCTCCAGCTCTGTGAAGGTGTCCATCAGCTGCTGAGGCTCCTGGCATCTGCCGCTGACATCAACTTCACCAAATGCTTGGATCGCTTGGTGTTGCATATGGGAAGCAGAAAATCCTGTCCTCACCTACCATGACCATCCGTGGCCTACCCAAAATGCGTCGGGTTTCTGCTTGCTATATAACTTCAAACTTAACACCTCTCCCCCCCTCTACTCTACTCCTGTTGGTGGGACCAGTCTTGCAGCCAGTGATGCGTTGGTAACGAAACTCCAGGTTTTGAGGGCCAATAGCAAGGACCCAAAAACTCCCACATACCATGCTCTACTGCATCTGTGCCCCATCAACCGCTTCAGAATCGCAGCACTGGGCGTGGAATGGGTGTTTGGTCCAAGAAATGGGTCCCCTTTCCTTTGAAGTCCATTCTTCTGGTCAGCCAGGCCCCTCCGGCCCCTAGGGACGGGTCCTTGAAAAAGAGCTCCGGCTCCTCCTCCGAAGACACCTCCACGTACCTTGGCCGAAGCCGACCGTGTCTGGACAGCCTGGACAGGCAACACTAGTAAATATAAACAAACAGCCTGAAATCATCGTGGAAATTCACAAAAACGGTCATCCAATAGGCCATGCAATCCACTTCCATGATGATTTCAGGGAGTGCAGGCATGAGAATCAGCCCTAATCAGCTACGGGAACACTGGGGCCTAGTGTCACCAAAACGTCCGGCACTGCGAAGATCCAATTCGGAGCGTTGCTTTTGCGCATAGAAGCCATGTCCTTTTCACCCAGATGTGACTGAAAGTTCTCTCCACCGGCTACAGGTGATCGATCTAAGCTGCTCCCCATTGACCTTCCTCTCTTCTTCCTGGGCAGCGCTGCGCATCGCACGAGATCGGTGGCACCGCGCCGCTCCCAAGGGATCGGGGGGAGCCTGGTCGCACCGAGGGGGGCCCTGGACCCTGGGGAGCCTGGGGACCGATGCCTCTCGAACCGATGTCAACCTCCCGGTGGTTTGGTGGGGGTGGTTTCGACGCCCGGTTTTCGTGGATCACCAGAGCCTCCCCAGAGACTTCACCAGTTCAGCGGTCAGAAGACGACACCAACGACACCAGCCTCGCCTCGCGCTTCTTTTGGATCCGCTTCTTTCGCAAGTCCCGCTCCCGTTGCTTTTGCAACAGCTCTTCCTGGCGACCGGACTGAGGCACAAGAAAGGAAGAATGGCCTGGTCAGGGAAGATTGAAGAAGAAACTTCTACACTGCAAAAAAATGAGGGAACCTCGAACAATCCATGTGAATCTACGTCACGTCCCTCTTCCTCTTGGAGGCATTTGGGCCGCCAACCCGACCATATGCAACAGCCGCCAACCATATGCGTGCGGGCCATGAGAATCCTTGACATCAATCCCCGCCGGGTCGAACGACGTTCCTCGCCGTGGCGGTCGAAAACCTGGAGCACGACACGGTGCGGGCTCCGCGGGTGTCGGTCTAGCTCAGGCTTGAGCTATATGGTCTGGAGCAGTCTGCTGTTCAAAACCCAGACTGGTGGGTTCTTAAAAAAGAAAAAGACCTAGGCAGTGCCATCACTTCTACAGTTGCACTACATGGCAGTTGAGATAGCCGTTTAGATGTGCCAACCCCCCCGGGCATCGCAGCCCAGTCCTCGTCTTCCCGGCGCCGAGACTTCTTGCTCTTCTTCCGCAACAGTTCGGCCGCCTGAGGGACCAAGGCTGCCTCCCCCTTGGAAGGAAACAAAGATTGCGCCGCTTGATTTGGGGCACCCTTTGGGCGTTTGGGGAGGGCCTTCTTCCAAAGGCACCTGAACCCTGGATCCGTGTTTGGTCCGGAAGCCAGCTAGAAAGCACGTGGTCCGGAAACCACTTCTTCCAGTGCAAAAGTCACCGGCCCAAGCGACAGGAGTGGGGGATGAGATGGGGGATGCTCGAAGCACGTGGGCGTGCCACGACAAAGACAGAGACCCACGACAAGGGGTTTTGGTCTATGTCCCTTTTTCTGACTGTTTTGTTGGGGGGTCTCCCTATTTCAGGGTCTGTCTATTTTTGTACAAGCCCACGTGTCAATATGGGCCAGCAGCAATAACCGATTGGGTGTGTTCTTTGAGGGCCATCGCCCGAGGCAAAGGTTCAGGTGGGCAGTAGATTTGATCAGCTTTTTGTCCCACGGCCTCGGCTTCCTCCTGCGCGAACTTCTCAGACAGCTTCTCGTCTTCGATGGCCAGCTGCTCCTCACAAGCACAGATCCGCAGATCCGCAGACACCACAAAGTGAGTGGGGGGTTTGGATATGATGATGGTGTTTCGTCCATGATGTAGCCCCATGGTTTCGGAAGGGAAAAACGGGAAAACACCCCAGCAGGACCTCCGTGGAAAACACGGCCACACAGCGTTGGGACTCGAAGCATGAGAAGCCACACAGATTTGCCGAGGTGCCAGGATGGGAGCCAGGCGTTCATTCTTCCACCTGGCAGGAGTGGCGTGACCCTGGGATTCCAACAACAATGTGTTTTGTTTTGTTTGTTTCTATTTTTTGAATAGATATGGTCAATGTTTATTTACCAAACCACTGTTTCGCTAAGGATGCTTGACCACAAGAACGATGTCTTACGCTGACAAGCTCTTGGGAATCCATGATAATCCATGTGACTCTTCAGTTTTTGTGTGACCTCAAAACCAGGGGATCAAAAAGGTCACTTTTAAAGAACCAGGTCCACCATTCTTTCAATGGTTTTTTTCAGGCGTAACTGGAGTGAGGTATCCGTCAGTGAGGTATCCGTCGACGGGCTGGTTGTGACGATTTGAGAAGTTCCACCCCTCATGAGCACAAATAGCCAGCGACCTGACATGTTTGTCGAGTTCTATGACAGGGACTTTCCATTGCATCCCTCATGATGCTCCCAGCATCTCATTCGGCTTCCGTGGGCCTCTGCGCTCGTTCCCTCTTCCTTTCTTCCTTCTTCACTTTCCTTAGGGCACTCGGCACGACCGGCGCGACGGCGCTGAAGGCGGCTCGCCGAAGTGGCGCAGCACCGCCCTCAAGGGCGGTGGAGGGCGGGCAACTAAGGTTTCAAGTCAGCTCACTCCTCTCCAACCCTCCCAACCGAAGGCACGTTCCGAACACAGAACCGTCGCCTTTGGGGCCCCGGGGCCCCGCGCTGCTCCTCCTTCCACTCCGCCGGCGTCAACTTCTCCAAGAAGTGCTTCAGCCGCTCCGATTCCACGCGCGCCTCCACCGCCCCGTGTGCCATGGCCGTTCGCGCCGGTGGCGTGGGTCAGGGCCGGGTGGGCCGGGTTGGTGGCGCTGGCCGGGGGAGGAAGGGAGGAAGTGGAGGTTGAGCGAGGGAAGCGGTGAGAAAAGGGGGTTCAAGACTTTCTTGAAGTGAGCCTCACGAGAGGAAAGCCAAAGGGGAGAAATAGTGGTTCAAGACTTTTGGGAGGTCCCGGTCCCTATGATGGGGGGTTCTTGTGGAGAAGCCATGGAACAAAGGCCCCAAGACAAAAGTAGCTCCACCAGTTCGACAAATCATCCCCCACATCGGTTGATCACATCGGCCTCTTTCAACTTACCGGTCTCACTCTGTACTGTCGCGATCTGTTGCTTCAGGTTCTTGATCTTCTGGACCTTGTCCTGCGGTGGGAGCCAGTGGATGGCACAGCCCCTTTGAAGGCGACTGTCCTCCCCAAACGGGTCTGAGTGTACCAAGCCAAAAAGTAAGCAGCCCTACGGGTGTGCCAGACTTTAGCACTGAGACGAGGGCAGGGAGTCTGCTCTGAGGAAGAAATGATGCGATGTTTGAGCGATACACCCCCACGGCGACTGCACAAATCTTGCAAATCTCCAATGGTTTGTTTGTAGCTCTACGGTTTTCAGTCGTTGGAACCACTGCTTACCTACCCCAGGTGCTGGTCTCAACCGCTGTCCTGCTTATTCTTGGCATGTTTCTCACTCTCCTTCGTGGCATGCGATGCCTTAGAGATCCTTTCCTGCCGGCCGCAGAACTCCGGTCAGAATCTGCGCACCATCCGTCCTTTTCTTCACGTAAGGAGGCTGCCCCAACGGCAGGCTATGCGGTAGTTTTCATGTTTTTGTTATATACATATGTTGCAGTATAAAGGGTTGGTTCTGTTGGGTCACTACCATGCTAAAGAGGCGGCGCAAACCAGAATGAGGAAGAAAGAAAACAGTGCTTCGGTCACAAGCCCTAGGCCATCACCCAATGGAATACATGGTCATTGTGCAAAGAATATCGCACAAACAGTAGAGTGGTGACCAGAAGGCAGACTTCGACAGCTCAAAGTTTTGGTTTTAGGTCGGCACACATACAAGTTGCATCCATGCCACATCAAAACCGAGGCTGGCCTGCAAATAGTCCTCGAACTTCTTTGCATCTTCCTGGAGGAAAAAAAATGACAAATTTAAAAAACATCCGCAACCCAACCGCGGCCGCTTCGTGGGGCCCTTCCCCAGAAAAAACAGCCCGTGGCAACATGCAAGCTGTTCAGACCCCAACCCCCTGGAAGTTCTGTTCGCACGCGAAGCGCGGAGCAGCGTGGCGTCCCCGGGCATACGCGGGCGGCATGCGAAAGGACATCCGATGGGTGAACGAATTCGTTGGGAAAAAACACCCTTCGAGATTGAAGCATGTGTCTCTTTGCGCCATTCCCGTTCCCAACCTCAACCAAGGAACTGTCCATGTGAACCCCCTCGAGTTTGCTCACCGAGACGCTCGCTCGTTCTCCGCAGCGTGAACAGATGCCGCCCGCCTCGAGGGTCTGCTGTGAGAAGGCCAAGGCGTCTTCTTTTGCCTTGGCCATCGCATCCAAGCGGACCTCAGGTCCAAGGCTCTGGAGGATGATCTCAGGGCAGCAGATGTCCAAGAAGACAGATCATTGGTCACTCATTTTCGGGAGCCACTCCCAAGACGAGGTGGGCGATCGGCATCGGCTGGGGCATCCACGGCTTCTTCCCGCTTGTTGTCGCAAGCCATGTGCACCAGGAAGACCTCGCGCTTCTTCTGGATGTACGTCCTGATGTCCTTCTCACCTCAGCTGGGCGACGCCCAGATCGCACCGTGCGGCGATGGGGGAGGCTCCAAAAGCACCACCCTGGCGCCACGAAGGCTCGGAGCTCCGGGGTTGTTCGTTTCGTGGTACTTCGGGCGGCCGCTGGGTGGGTCCCCCGGCTCTTGTGCAGCGGCTCCACCAAGCCCACAGCTGGCTTGGTGGCCACCGTCCTTGGAGAAGAGACGAGAGTTGGTGCGGAGTCCAACACCCAGGTTTGCACGTAGGATCCAACAAAGAACATGGCCTCATGTGGAATCCTCCAAATTTGGACCCTGATGAGGGCGTGTCCGTTCTGTAGTTCATTGTCGGAATCTTCGAGTTGAGGATGGACATGAGGTTCGACTTGCTGATCTTTCAGGGCAGCTGGCAAACATGCCACAACTCTAATTTGCAGATACCATCTTGACCCACACTGTTCCCTGAAGACCTCCAAGAGCACTTGTACACATGAGGCACCCCAAACCGGGAGACACCCCTCGGACCCACCGTAAACCTTTGGGGAACCGATCTGGTCGGACCTGCAGGTTTCTCATCCCCGTCTTCTAGTAGGGATCTGGGTACGTAATGATGAGCTGAGAAGTTCACTTGCGTCACTGGACATGGCCGTAGGAATTTGACAGTGACATCACGCAATGGCTTAGCACCGTTTCCTCCTCTGATCCCACTGGCTCTCTCTCTCTCTCTTGAGCATCCAGACGTGAGGAAGGTGGGGGGAGGCCGCTCCTCCTCAAGAACCTGTGACGCAGCAAGTGCCTGCCTTCCGCGTCACATGTGAAGTGCTTCTGGATAAAGGCCTTAGGACCTAGGAGGAGAAATAAGCTCTTTAGCTTCGAGAATCTTTGGGCCATCCGTTGTTCCTTGCTCAGTCTAAGGCATTGAACAGTTTATTTTAATGTTTGCAATGAGCAAAAAACACGGCACATCTAACATGTAGCAGTTCCACCAATCACCCTCCAAACGCCGGTGGAGTTTCCAACCAGCTCTAATTACATCCATTTCTAGGACACAGGGTCTGCTGTCAGTGGAACATCAAGCTCCGAAGGTCCCCTGGCCTCCGCCCATTTGGGGAGGAAAGCGAGGAAGCAAAGACCACCAGAACAAGAGGAAAAGTCGCTGTGACGGAGGCTGCAGATCAAAAGTCCAACAAAAAACGAGAGGAGGCGGATGGATGGTGACCATCAACCGAAAGAAGAAGGCACACGTCACCAAAGACCATGGAAGAAATCCCAGCAAATTCTCACACTCAGAGGCTCAGAAGAGAAACATGGTCAGGCGGCGGAAGCTGCAAAAACCCAGGCTCAGGGAGGAGCTGTCTACGAACCTGGTGCCCCAAAAAAGGAAGGTTGCCAGCATCAGGAAGCCGCCGAACCCAGCGAATAACAGCTGATCAACCCGGGAACAGAGTTCCAGCAACAGCTTCTCCCAAAGGGCTCCTCCCAGAGCACGCGGTGCACACACGGCTTCAGGCCCCCCCTGCCGCCACCACAGCTTTCAGCAATCAAGGGAAAAATTGGATGCGCTGGGCCCTGCATTGTTCCTTGCTGTTTTTTGTGAGCCCTCTTTCCCAGAAGTGAGGGCAGCATGCACACCAGTAAGAAAACCTTTTAGGGCATTGCCCCAAACAATCCCAAAACCCACTGGACACTGCCAGGTCAAACGGGGCCGGGCCATGAAAAAAAAAAACAAGCGGGCACTTGCAGTCGGGCGACGGCCACTTCCAAGAGCCACCCTCCTCACAAGGTCACGGTGACAGGAGACTCAGGAGACCAGCCTTTTCGACTTCAGGGCTGAAACCAGCAACTGCCAGCCGCTCAGCCAAGAGGGCTTGACACATTCACCACCGCAAGCCACGACCCCGTGTGATCCCCCCACCAGTCCGCAACGCCATCGCAAAGGGGGGCGATACCCATCAGAAGCGGCCAAGGGAAGGCAGTGTTGGCGAAGAAGCACAAAGCGGATACGATGTTGGCAACTCAACACGGTATATGGCCGAAGCGCTTTGCCCACTTAACCAATCGTGTTTCGCCACACACGAGTACACCTGCGGTTTGAAAACCTTCAAAAAATTTGGTGGTTGTGCAAAAAACATTCTGCAACTCAAGTTGCCCACCACCCCCGAAGTCTCACCACAAAACCTGGGGCGACCTGCCTTTGCCTTGGCGTTGGCCAGCGCAAGGCTCACCGACTTGGACACTGGCCTGGGCGATCTGCTTTAGAAAAAGGACGAGTTCCCCCTCGGTGCCGGTGGAGTCTTTGGGGGTCTTTCAGTGCAATTGAGATAACCTCACACTGGGAAGCTGCTACCATCCACTTCCATCCCTCAACCCACCACCAACCAACCACTGACCAGCCACTGACCCACCTGACGTCAGGTCCGCAGGCTTCGTGCGGCCCGAGGGGCGCCATGGGCAGCTCATGGTCGTGCACCTTCCGGATGGCCCCATAGCTGCTAGAGCACGTGGACTTTTCGTGCACGCGCAGCTTCTTCTCCTACCAAGACGCACGGGCCGATGCATTCTTGGATGTCCAACTCATAGAATAGCAGAACACCGCACATGCAGATGTGTGCAACGCAGATGTGACTCATCAGCGTTTTCTGCATGCAGCGGGTTTTTTTTCTGCGGGTGGCTCAACCAAAATATGCCCAACATATGAAACTAAACATGTTACTGCAGCTATAACATTGGTCACATAGTTTCTGAGCACAAAGAGGTTTCACCATGGCGATGGACAATGGTATGTTACTGCCACTGTACGATACAGCACACCTCTGCGCATACTGGTTTGACATGCACAAACATTCTGGCGCATTGGTGCGTGTAAAGCGGGTTTGCATCTGTGTCCATCGACCCCCGTGCTTATGGAAAAACACCAACAGGCTGCAAGCCTCGTTTTTAGCCATGTGCAGTCCTAAACACCTCTTAACACTTAGAACAGGGACTGTGGCCCACCTCCCGCGATACCACTCGTTCGGCCAGGTTCTCCTGCAGGCGCTCGTGCTCCGTGCGTTCAGGCGGGGGCGGCTGCAGCCAGAAGCATTCCAACTCTTCGGGCAAGCCTGGGCAGAAGCACGCAGCTCTGGAATCCCCAGTCTGCGTTCCAACAGCTTGCGCGATATGAACAAGTCGCTTGGAGGACCCAAACCTGCCCAGCACGTTTTGACTCAGGAATTTCACATGCTGAACCGTTTTTTTGCTCTTTCCGCGTGTTCGGAGGATCCCCCAGCATGATTACTTAGCTGGGAAATTTATGCCCCATTACATAACAAACAACATCATCATCGCTTCATTCACGCCCTGATCAAGTCACGTCCTTGCATCCAACAATACTGAGGCTGAGGCTAAATGGGTTGGCATGCTCGCCCTCAACCATTTCCTCAACCAAAATCAAATTCACTCTGCAAAAAACCACTTGACTCAACCGCCCTTCTAAGGCACAAAATTGCCCAAATCTGGGCACCCTACTGCTGGGGCGGCACAGCGGTTTGTGGTCACGCTACCGACATCAGAAAAAAATTGGCAGAAGGCATCGCTCAACGATGCAGCTCTGCCCAAATGCTTGAGCCGGGAGCACGGCATTGCATACAATTCGTCCACCGGCGCCGATCGCAACAAGCAACGTAACATGAAAACATGTTAAACGAACAACGCCGTCCCAGGCCCAAAGGTCAAATGCACTAAGGCCTTTCAGGGTCAGGGTGCTAAACGACAAATTTTGCATGATTTTATATATTTTTTGACTTGCTGTTTTGCTTTCTTTTTGGGAGGGGTGGGA